ATATAATGTATATACTGCATATAATGTACATAAAATATAAAAGGTATTTATATAATATGTAAGGTAAAGTTATTGCTTGGAAGTATCTCGGTACATATCATTTTATATTTAATTAAATTAATTAAGTTATTTATAAACAAACAAATAAAGAAATAAAATATTTTATTGCATTTTATTATATTTTGCTTTTTTTATACTGTAAATTAGTTCATAATAGTTTTCTGCCTTGATGTCACTTTATTCTTCACACATATTTTTTTTACAGTGTCTTTTCTTGCACTTGTCGCATATGGTGAGATGCCAAACTCATTAAATTAACTTAAAATGATAAAAAAAAATACCAGATCAGAACAAACCCATGACATTTCTGTTTGTTTTAACAAGGTGAAGATATTAGTAATTACTGTGCATATGTTTCCTTGGCAACTGATCCAGCTTTGTTTCAGTGCCAGTTTTTGTATTGCAGTGCACTGAGTTAATTTATAAAGCAAACCGCACAACTGTTGGCCTTTGCTTTTCTGTGCTGCTACAGATGCCTAGACGAGTCTGAAACCTCCTCCCGGCAAACTCTTTGTTTCAGGCAGCGAAATGGAGTGTAAATTGGTTTCAAGAGTCTTTTTTTTTTTTGAGTTTGTGTGCTGTACAGGATTGGTAATTTGTGTACACAGGCAACAATCAAGTGCAAGACAGTGAAACCTGAACAACTGCAACTCAGCAACAGCCCAAAAGAAGAGAGCCAAAATAGAAACCCAAAAATATTATTAATCTTTTGCAATATACTGCATACTATTATGATTGCATGCATGTTTAAACACAGAAATAATAAAATCAGTATGCTATTCCAAACATGATCCAGTCTTTTTGTCATAACTGAACTTTCATATTATGTCTAATATAATTAATACACACTGCAGAAATATGTTATTCAGAACACAGTTAAACACTGGATGTCAATGAGTGTCGATGTGTGTGAATTCCTGCAGAGAGCAGCATTTCACTGCAAATGAAAATGATTTTAAAAAGACTGGAAATATTTCCACTTTAGCATTACATCATCCAATTTTGGGCAGCAGGGTGATTGATTATTATTATTATTATTATTATTAATAATGATAAATGGAGCAATTCCAACCAATTCCAAATTATACTTATAATTTTTTAGCGTAAACTATTATTATTAATACATTGTATAATAATGGTAATCATATATAATATAAATACAAATACAAGATTGTTATAATTGTCATTTCTATTTGATCAGTAATAATAATAATAATAATTTTTAGATACATTTTTTATATTTGATGTATTAATTTTTATTAATGTATTATTTATGTGAGTTTTTAAAAAGTATTAATAGTAAAGATTATTGGGAAATAAATAATAGTTGAAAAAAAATAATTGTCATCTGTAATGCAGCACATAAATAATTGAAAATGCCTAAATAATAAATAAATAATAAATGCTTAAATAATTTATTATTATTATTATTATTATAAAGACTATTTCATAGATATTATATATGGATTTTTTTTTTACAAAAAGATTGTGATAATTGGCATATGTATGTTATCTATAATAATAATAATGTTCTTATTTTTATGTATTATTTCTATTAATTTATTATTTATGTGAGATTTTATTATTATTATGATGATTAATAGTACAGATTATTGGGTAATGAGATAAATAATAGTTTAGTCATCTGTAATTCAGTACAGATAAGTTGGACCAGATCTTTCCCTGTTCGCTAGCAAACCTCAGGCCTGTTTGAATTATTAACCACATCACGTCCAAATTTTACCCCCATGCCAGCAGTAGAAGATGACTTCATGACCTCAGTATCTGTCCATCCGTGTGAGTAAGACAGCAGGAGAGAGAGACAGGCAGACAAACATAGGGCTGAATGGATAGATGGAGCTGGACTCGGAGAAACACAGGCCTCTTTTGTGCAGCTTGATTGAAATTCTGCTGCTTGTGGATTCACAGGCCATTCTAGAGCTGTGGCCAATTAGGAAGTTGGGAAACCAGGGGTCTGTGTCTGGTTGAGCTAAGAAAAAGTGTAAGAAAGCTATGAGAGAGCACTCAAACACAGCTGAGTGACATATCCTAAAGTGTCCTCAGGTTTTTTAATGGGCCCACGCCAGCCAGAATAAATGATTTCAGCTGACTGCGAGCATCAAAAACCAGAAATGCTGTAAAGAAGAGTGTTGAACCTCAGAAAAAAATGTTTTTGCTCTCTATTTTGAAGCTTTGTATTAATAACCTCTCCGTTTTTGTGCGGGCAATTTGATTGATGTTCTGTAGATGGCAGTAAAACATTCTTGCTGCGGGATGGTTGTGTTTTATACACTCACACTGTCTATCACTCACTGCCGGGCTTGTGTATGGGTTTTATTTATGATAACTGGGTAATAAAGACACTCTGTTCTTCTCTCTTATATTGAGATGCAAAGATTGTGAAGGATGCGGTTGCACACGCATCCGTATGGCTCGATTGTGCGGGGATCTGTGCTTTAAAACCGAAGGGCCGCATTATTGTTACACACTGAATATGTCTGGAAATGACTTTGTGCACAGGAAATATATGGCTTTGTCAGCTGCCTTGGCAGTTAAGGACACAATTACAGAGAAAGTTGTTTGTAGCACTGCAGTATATCTTCCTAAAGAAAACATTAAAAAAAGGAAATAGTTAAAAAAAAAAAAATTAAGAAGAAAATTGTTGTTGTTGTTTATTTTTTCCCTATTTACTATATTTTATATAATAATAAAGTTGTTTTGTTATTATTAATTTTGAGTTAATATTATTAATATTTTACTATTTTCTTTTTAAGATACTACTACTAATAATAATAATAATTAGTAGTAGAAGTAGTTCTAATTAGAATTTCTATTATTAATTTCTTTAGTTTTTT